GACGTAGCCAATCATAAAGTTAGGAGGACGTAGCCAATCATAAAGTTAGGGTGACAGTACGACGTTAACACACACGGGTCACATAGTACCAGCTCATCCTAGGTGGAAAGTTAAATTAGTGTACTCTGAGAGTAGATTTTAAAATCACAGTGGCTGTGGTGGTCCTATGCAACAGTATTTGTAATCAAGAAGAAGAAAGGCTGGCTGTTTAATGCTGAGTTAGTAGGATCATAGCCATTGGTGGCTTTTATTTCACTCTCATTATGCATTACTATTTTTTGATAAGGTGGGGTTTGGAAGTAATGTGTCCAAGAACTGATGTGATAGCTCTCTCTTTTTCTCTCTCTCTCTCTCTAACCTTAAGAGGGAGAGGGAGAGTTGTATGGCATATCATATAACTAGAAAAGCACTATGCCATGACAGAGGACAAAGTTTCTTTAGTCTTTACACAGAAAGGGTGTATGTCTAGTTTTTTCTGTTAATGAAATGGTCAGATGAAATTGAGCGCCATAATGGTGTATTCGGAGGATCTGCATTAGAACTAGCAATTAGATTATATTCAAACTTTCCAATCCCTTGCTAGAATTTAGATCTTTACCTAAATCAAATTATTGATATCTTGATTTTATAGGTAGGTTGATAAAATATAGATGAGATGTTGAAGTTGATGTATATTTATAACAGTTTAGATTGATAAATGAGCAGTTTATACTTCTCAAGAAATTATAAATCTTTAACATTGTTTTTCTTTTTGTTTTTAAATTAAAAAAAAGGTGGGACGAGATACAGAACTTTTAATCTTGGGAGAAAGATAATATGTATCTTATTTGGAATTTATATATTGGCATCAACGTCTAGTTTTAGATTTGCTACTAACATTATATGTTTTAATGACGTGTGGTTTCAGCGCTAGTACTTACTGTGCCAACAGGAACATAAGGTTTTGTGGTGTACAATGACGCTACAAAAAAAAATGTTGAGTTGTGTTCTTTTGCAACATGGAAATGTTATTGTGTATGGGTCCCATCAATTGAAGAGTTATGAGCATGACTAGCCGATGCATAATCTAAAATGGGTAACATCGGTATTCGCTTTGAAGGTTTGGGTATTTATTCACATCAAAGAAACTTAATATGAGTCAAGTAGGTAGTTGAAATTAGACAAGATTATGATATGAAAATATTATATTATCCGAGGTAAATCAAACACAGTGAAGGTTTTTGAACAATGATGTATGTTACAAAGTAAACAAAAGAGTTGTGCTAATGTGAGTCGTAGAGATTTAGAACTGCAAATTTGTCTTGTGTGGTTGATTTTGAGTCCCTATGCTTGGATGAGATAAGAACTTGCAAGTTATGAAGAGGGGATGAATACGTTTCATAACCGTCAAGTTCCTTTGGTAGAATGATCAATAGGGGAAAATAAGGGAAATGGAGGACAATATGATAGTTAAATATCTCGAGCTCTACTAAGAAATGTGACAATCAAACTAAGTATTAAGTGTGGTTTGATAAACGAAACTTTTGAGGACAAAAGTTCGAAATTCGGCTCATAAAAGCAAAATCTCGCTTTGACTTCACATCTTAAACAAAAAAATAGTCAAATGTAGCTCAAGAAGAAACTTCATCTAATTTTGTGCCTCGCGTCGTGAGTGTTTGATTTTGTGCATTGTTGTTGCAATCGTACCTTGCCTTCTTAGTGTTATTTGGCACTTGTCTAGCATATTCTATCTACAACATCAATCGATCCACCTTTTTGGCACAATTGTGCAGTTGTTTGACGTACGCTCCACACGTTTGTCACATTGATTATAGTTTTTCAATTTTGTTAGCAACACTCAATTTTGTTAGCAACACTGCCGTAAGAATCGATGACTTTAGCCTTATCATCTTAGGTTTTCATTGTAGTGCCATCGTTGTCTATCAAAGTTTACTTTAGAAGGAATCATCACAACTATAATGTGTGAAGGTAAAATTGTGCGTGATTAGTTGGGAAGTATGTGCACATAGGGAGATCACAACCAATGTGTAGTTGGTTTATTTTTCAACGCACGGTCTATGTTTCGATGTGCAGTTGGTTGTTCGACGCACGATCTCCACTTCAGTTTGCCGTTGGTTGTTCGACACACAGTCTAAGTTTGATTGGTTGGTTCAGGGCCATGATTTTTTCAACACATGGTCATTGATTATAAGAAACCGATTAAAAGTTAGCTAGCAAAGAGGAGGATCAAGAGGTTAAGATTCACTAAATAAGCTTGAACTTCAGCATAACTCAACTAGTTAAGACATATATCATCAATCAAGAGGACAGAGATTTGAATCTTTTGCTCCATACATTGAACAGAAAACATAGAAGAAAAAAAAATTTGTGAAAGACTCGATTCCTAAAAATTTCGCACAAATAATCCCAATTCAATCTCCACAAAAATAAATTGAAATTTTTGGTAGAATGAATAATGAAACAGGTGGAGAAAGACTTTTCGGTCCTCACCTCGTCTCTTGCATATCTCTAAATATGTGTTATTTTAGAATTTTTTTTCTCCACGATCAACATATACATTTCTTTTTTCTCTACGATCAAATTTTGTGTAAATTTGAGATATTGATATCAACATCGACGTAATACTTTCAGCCTTACTTACCACGAAATTTAAAACGTCGTATATATAATTTTTAAATTAGAAATACACAAAATAGAGTTATAAAATGCAATAAATAAGGTAATAATTTTGGAAGGAGAAAAAAAAAATGTAGTTTCATTACAAAAATTGAATCTCAAAGTCTTGTTTTTTCTTCATTTTTAAGTTTTCATTTAATGATGAAATCAATAATGGCATCCTTTCAATACTAACTTTATTATTTCTCATTACTTCTAAATTATAGAACTTTCATATTAAATAATTATATGAAAATATGGCTTTCCTTTATTTTTTATTTTTTATTTATTTTTAAAATAGTTTTTTCGGGTGAAAAATAACTAAAAATCAATTTTGGACTCTTTGTCAAATGCAATCAAATAGTATATATTTAGGAGCGAGAAAAGCAAATTCAAACACAGCCCACTGTTAGCAGATATTGTCCGCTTTGGCCCATTATGTATCGGCTTTAGCCCTACAGTTTTAAAATATTGTCCGCCTCTTTCCTTTATTTTTTGATTTGACATAAAATCTAAAATTTTTACCCCTAAAATTACCTAAAAAAATAATATATTTTAGTCACCTATTTATATTCCTAAACTAATAAAAATAATTTTAAATTTTACACAGCTTTACCATTTCAAAAAAGTTTTAAAAAATAAAATACCATTAATATTTTATTTAAAAAATACCTTCATAAAACAAAATTTGAACCTTTAAAAAAACTTCAAAAAAACACTTTTAATTTTTTTTATTAAATTAAAAAATTACTCTTACTATTACCGTACGTTACTCTATACCCCATTTCAAAAATACTCATAAACTTTCAAAAAATAACGTTAATATCCTTAAACTTTTAGACGAAAAATTAGAAGTTTGGAAATAATCTAAGAGACGTAGATTAACACTTTCTGTCAATAGACATACAATATTATTTTTTTTTATAAAGATGGGTATTAATGATACTCTTAAAATTTCGAGAATTTTTTTAAATAAAATATACTAAAAATTTAGAGTTAATTTTTTAGAAAATAATAAAGTAGAAGGAGAAAAAAAATGGTAAAAAAAAAAAAAAAATCACAAGTTTCTTTGGTTGTTTCTCATACATTTTTACCTTTTCCCCTTTCTTTTTGCTTCCATGATTTTCGTGACAACCTTTTTCTTTTTCTTTTATTAAATAATAATAATAATAATAAACTCTTATTCTAGAGAGAGAAAGAGAGAGAGAATGGTTTATTTTCTCTCCAACTTGTATGCATAGGAAAATAAGAGGTGTCCAATGCATGTTATTGTAATAAATACAATTTAATGTTTTATTATTTTTTTTTTATTAAAAGGTTTTTTAATTTTAGAAAAATATTTAATAAGTTTTTGTAATACATCGAGTAAAAGAGTCGCCCGTAAACGAGCGAGAGTGATCTTGAAAATATGATAATTAAAAATAATTTAAAAGAATTGGAAGTTAATATTTATATCAACAAGGTACACCTTTCTTTCTTCTAGTTCAATAGTAACAATTATCGTAAGAAGCATGTGAGCGAGAATAAAACCTGGTGGACACAAGACTCGTGTTCGTCTGTCACGGTAGTTTTCATTCTAAAGAAAAAAAAAACAGTAGGTAACGCTATCATGTCGTAGGGGAATACCAAACCTGACTTTCGAATTTTGATCTGAATCTTGGATATGAGTCGTTCGTAATTGGCTTTCGACTTTTTATCTAGTTTGATTCGGATCCATTTTTCTTTTATAAATAAACATTTGAAATTCAAAAAATTAAATTAAATTTTTATTATAAAAAAAAAAAAGATTATTTTTCTATTGTATGGATGTTTTAAAAAAATTAAAAAAAAAAAAAAATTTTTTTTTAAAAACTTATTTTATTTTTCGAATTCAACAAAAAATTCAAATAATCCTTAAAAAATATAAAACTAACCTCAAATTTGGCTTAAATTTATAAAAATTAATTTCTTATAATATAAATTGAAAAAATAAACAAAAAAAACCAAGTAGGCCCTAAGGTTGGTATCATTTCAAGCCACGTGTCCTATGGAGATTTGATTTAAAATACACTGATTTATTTTATTTATTTATTATAATTTATATTATATCTAATATAATCATAAACCCGTTATTTTCTTCCATTAAAAGGCCAATAAAATATTTTTCTTTGACCATACGAACTCAATTCAACGGTAACTGACATGTTCTCCGTTTCTTAAAGTCGAGCTTTCAAATTCTCATAATCCCAGTTGTCGATTCCTAAGTCAAAATGACGATATGATTCAGTTTTACTTATCGAACGTGAATTTAGGTCAAATCGTTATTTGTGAAAGATGAAATTCGTGATTAAGAAATTATGAGAATGTAAGTATAAACATGACGGAACGTTGATGAAAGTAATTAGTATTACAATTACAAAGGTCGGGAACGGGAATTCATTGAATACTAAGAAAAAAAAGTTGTTAGAACATTGGTGACAATGGCATCATCTCCTCTACTTGAACAGAAGTGTCATCAAGTAGCCATTTCTCAAGAAATGACATTGGAGGATTATTGTCGTTCTCGCTTCTATTTTGCTTATTATCTTTCTCGCATGACGCCCCCAAGTTATCGAGCGATACCATCGACTCGATCTCCTTCATGGATCCTACCCTGTTCCCATCTTGCTCGGTTTTCACCTCTTGGCATTGGTTAGAAACCACGGAATCTCCACGATGACTTTGTTTTTCGTCGAAATGGAATGGATTGTCGTTAGTCTTTGGAGACGATCTCATCCATCCTTCAAGTAGGCGCGAGATGTTCTCGGCACTTGAGTAATAAGTTGACGACGACGACGACGGCGACGCGGCGGAGGATCGATTCGGGCAAAAACAGGAAGCAGAGACGGAGGCGGAAGCGGAGGAAGAATCGAAATTAAAAGTCCTTGTGAAAGAATCATTGAAGAAACCCTTTGAGAAAAACTCCGTGGTTGTTGAGTGATCTAAAGCTGATTTGAGTTTCTTCTTCAAGTGAGTGTTCCAATAGTTTTTGATATCATTATCCGTCCTTTGTGGAAGATAAGAAGCTATTGCAGCCCATCTGCAAATTCGAGATCGAATTTATCATATAACGATTCGTCACTCGAATCTCGAAATAATTGAACTTTGTTTAAGAAACGAGAGAATTACTTGTTACCCAATAAAGCTTGCAAATGGATGATCATTCCTTCCTCGTGGGGCGTGAAGTTGCCTCTCTTGATTCCGGGTCTCAGGTAATTGGTCCATCGTAGCCTACAACTCTTGCTACATCTCAAGAGACCTGTCGTCGTATAGGAATAAAAAAATTAAATTTATCATAACTCATTCGATCTCGAAAACCTGTTGTATACAAATAAAAAAAAATTAAATTTATCGTAACCCATTTGATCTCGAAAACCTATCGTCGTACATTAATAAAAAGATTAAATTTTTTTGTAACTCATTCGATCTCGAAGACCTGTTGTGTATGAATAAAAGAAATTAAATTTATCGTAACCCATTCGATCTCAAAGACCTGTGGTCGTATATGAATAAAAAGATTAAATTTATCGTAACCCATGGAATCTCGGAGAGATCGGACCCGGAATCTAAAAAAGGGGAAGGAGAGAGAAAATAGAGAGAGAAAGAGATACCGGTGTTGGTGGGAACAGATCTCCAGTTACCAGGGCCATGTTGTTGAATGTAAGAGACAAGAAGGATGTCTTCTTCAGGAGTCCAAGGACCCTTCTTGATGCCCACTTTCTCACAGCATGGAGGCCTTCCCATGCTCTCTCTCTCTCTCTCTGCCTGTCTCTCCGCCTGTCTCTCCGCCTGTCTCTCCCACTCTCTCCCCCAACTGAAATGGAGGCTTCAAGAACTCATATATTATTTTGTTATATATATATATAGAGAGAGAGAGAGAGAGTTTTGTGTTTGTGTTTCTCTCTCCAAACAGTGTGTTGTTGTCAGCATGTGATTGCTTAAATACACACCACTCTTAACTCACCTCTCCAACCCAAACTTTTTTTTTTTTTTTTTTTTTTTTGCATTTATTTTGTTCATAGTCTTCGTCTTTAAAAGAATTTTGTCTTTCAACTTTTAGTTTATACTAATTTTTAAATTAAACTTATAAATTAAGATTTTCGTATGAATTATTTGTGAATTTCGAGGTTGATTTAATTTTATGGAGCGAGTTGAGCTTAATTAAATTTCAAAAGTTTTAGTTTATCTCTATGCTTAAATGAATTTTTTTTTTTTTTTTTTTTTTGTAGATTTTAAAATTTACGAGATTAATTAATTTAGTCATTCTTTTGCAATATAAGCGTTAATGAACTCGTTTGATAATAATTTTGTTTTTTGTTTTTAAAATTTGTGATTTTTATTTTTTTATTTTTGTAAAAAAGTATATAACAAAACAAAAATATTTATAAGTTTAATTTTAAAAACAAAAAATTAAATAATTACTATTGAAGTTTGCCCTTTATTCTTTATAAAATAAAACGATCTTTTTTCTCCACACTTCATAAATGTTATAAAACTATCATTAGAGTGGAAGACGAATATCGTAATACTTTTCAAACAAAGAGTTAAGTTCTCATTCTGACTATTTTTTCTAAACGTAGTAAAGCCAATAATTTTATATGCAATATTCTAATACTCATAAAATATTTTAAAGTTAGCAAAATAATTATAAAAACATGTGAATAAAATTGATTATGTGACACGTGTCATTTTATTTTATCAATTATTTTCCTGTTTTTGTGATTTAATTAATAGGAAATACTTTAATTCATTAAAAAAAAAATAAAGAAAGAAAGAAAACAGTCAACAAGAGAGGGGTATTAACAGAAAGTCAGGAAGCAAAAAGGTGTAATGGCTGAGGCTTTCTTCTTCTGTGGTTCTGATTCTCTGCCTAAAAAGATGGGGAAGAAAAGGGAGGACGAACTTTGCACTTCGATCCTTTCTCTCTCTTCCTTCAATGTATTTCTCTCTCTTCTTATGGGGACCTCGTATATTTAATAGTCTTGCTCACATATCGAACTATGGATGGTGTAAACAACCGAGGTCAACGATGAAAATCACTAAAGAAGCTTGAACTTCAATGTAACTCAACTAGTTAAGACATATACCATCGATCAAGAGGTTAAGATTCACTAAAGAAGTAGGAACTTTAAACGTAACTCAACTAGTTAAGACATATAGCATCGATCAAAAGATTTGAACCTGAAACAAAATATTCCCTTTGGTCTATAGCTTCATATAAACTTAATGAAACTCTTCCTACTTATTTCTAGAATTGCCCATTTGACTAAAATGTATGATTCAATCTTATTAAGTGCAGAACACCTGATAGTTACACTCATCTCAGCTACTCAAGTTAATGCATACCAGTCTTTAGTAATTCCAAACCAAGCCACAAGTCTATGAGTCGCGGGCTCGTTCTTCAACTGGCAATGCTATCTCTGGTAGTTACGAGCTCCGTAACTGTTTTACCTGGCTCTGAGAAAAAATTGACAATCAAGCATGTTTTGTCGTATCAGTACTGGTTCGCACTTGGATTTTAAGCAAACATGCAACATGTACCTTACATATGGAGACTTAGCTAATAAAGAAACGGTACCAATATGGGCCAGAAAGGAGAATAGATTATCTAAGTAGGGCACGTGAAAGTTGAGGCATAAATAATACTGAATCATGAAGGTTGAGTTACAAAGTAGAAATTTCTACTAGAGATTAAAAATGACCACAAGAGAACAAACCAGTTAATGCGACAACAGTTTGATTAAACGAAAAGAGTTAAGACATAATTTTCACGGTGAACTCTACAAAACTAAGCTAATTTTGTCTTCAAATCTATTTCTAGAAACAATATACTCAGCTCAAGCCCACCGCTAGTAGATATTGTCCTCTTTGGCCTTTTCCTCAAGGTTTTTAAAACGCGTATACTAGGGAGAGGTTTCCATACCCTTATAAAAAATGTTTCGTTCTCCTCCCCAAATGAGTACTGATCCTATTGCGTAACTCTGAAAGATAGCATTTTAAAAACTTCGAGGGAAAGTCTGAAAGGGAAAGCCCAAAGAAGACAATATATGCTAGCGGTGGACTTGGGTTGTTACAGTATATAGATCATGTATATAAAATATAGAACAAGTAACAATCCGACCTAATTACAAATCAATGACAAGAAAAAAGCCTCCCCCCCACCTCTATATATGTGTTACTTATGGAGGTCAAAGTTCAAAAAAACATCAAGTTCCAGACATTGGATAATTCACCAACGAATAACGAACACCGTTGCATGAATAGGAAACTTTCATTATATGAAATACGAAGTATCCTAACAAGTTTATCTAGTAAAACTGGGAGAGATTCTAACACAACGTGAAAACATGACGATGGTTGACGAAGAAAACTGCTAATAGAGCACAGTGCACACATTAGAATTCAAGAACAAACAGGGGACAAGCAGTTAGACTTCGTGGTAACAAAACCATCATGGAGATGACAAAAAAATTTAAACCCGCGATCAGAAAATTTGAAGTAGAAGCAACAAGCAAGGATCTTACATTTATTACATCCTCTGACCTCCTCTTGATGCCAGGTCCACTACTACTGCTATCTACAAATCTATGATAATACTTTAGAGGGTGGTACTTCAATGAAGCTAACTCTTCTTTAGCTACGTCGAGTCTCCGTTTTTCAGCTTTCTGTAGCGAGCAGTGTTACAAATTAAAATTGCAGTTGTTATCGAATGGGAAAATAACGTTTCAACATCTAAAACTTACAAGTGCTTTCCTAGAAATGGAAAGTTGTAGCTCACAAAGCTTGAGCTCCATATCGAGAGTCCGCAAGCGAGAATCAACAGACACGCTGCATTGTTCGACAATTTGCCTTTGCCTTGCCCTAATGACCTCTGGCTGCCAGACTCTCAAAGCTACTGATGCTTCCCTGTGACTACCAAACATAATTATCATATCTAAAATTTTTGAATATAAACCAAACTTGACATTTTACTCACTGCCCAGAATAATACTCAAACAACTCCAATCAACGATTTAACTAAATGCAATCAACTAAGTTGCAGAAGCACACAAGTTCCAAGAATTTTCCAAGGAAAATTTAGGATTCCAGCACTCAATTTCCCCTCATTTCCACCAGCGTCTAAAGCATCAAACGAGGAAAGAACAGAAAATATAACTGAAATTTTGAATTAATTGCTGAACACTACCTGACCGTGCGTAAATTAGACAATTCCGTCAAGGTCCTTGTCAATTTCTTGGTCTCCTCCACCAAGCCTTCCTCTAATTCTTCAAGCCTTCTAAAATGCGCCTTTATTTGGTTATTCTTTCTAAACACTGTTCTCCTATGCTTCTCTGCCTTCTTATACCTATCTCTCTCCAACCTGACCAGAACAAGAACCAAAATCCAAAAACCAAAAAAAAAAAAAAAGAATCATCGTCCAGAAGAGGAAAGGAACACGAACATACAAATTCGTCCGATCGTAATCAGATTAACCAAACGCCATTACACGAGACAACAAAAAAAAAAAAAAAAAAATCAGATATATGGTGCAGTTCACAAATTGTTCCGTGTACCTGAGTTTGTAAAGGAACTTCGAAGAGGCGTCGGAGGATGAAAAAGAAGAAGATGAGGAAGGGTAATCGGAGGAGAGAAGGTGAGACCATAGACATTCGTCGTCGGAGAGGCGGCGAAGTCGGCGAGAAGAGATGGAGATGCAACAGAGATCTCTGTAAGTGAAATCACACCTCTTAACACCAATTTCCAGAATTTGTCTCCATAGCTCGTCTGGCAATTCTGACATTTTCGGATTCGCGAAGATGAAAAGGAACGATCGTACAAAGCCCTAAAATCTAATGAATTGTGTGTTCATACATATTATAGGAGATTTAATTAATTCATAAAAATTAAAATTCTATTTAATATATTAATTATATTGAGAATTATATGTAACAATTAATGGTTTAATTTTTAATAATAATTTGGATTATTTTATTTGTAAGTTGATAATAATATAGCATAATAATAAGATTGTGTCGTATATTGGTAACATTATTGATATGCCTCACTTTATAATAAGAGTTTAAAAAAAAAAATGATCTAACCCAACCCGTATGATTTGGGTTGAGATATAAATTTATTTGGATCGAGATACATATATATACACACACATATACATTTATTTGTATGATAACACGTGTCCAGTGGCCCTACACGTGTCATATGTGTGATATGTTTTGCTATATGATATGCCAAGGAACATTAGAGTATAAATGAAACGTCATATTATGCTATATAATGAATTATGATATGTTATGAAATGTCATGATATACAATGATATGATTGTGTTAGGCCATGATATGTTATGACATGCCATGATATGTTTCGAGATAAGAAGACGATGCAACCTGTAAGCTATGATTTAAAGGTTATGTTATGAATGAAATGAGTTTGTAAGATTCTATGTATGCATATTACCGAGTATAATATGTGAGAGAGGAATGGTGGTTGAAAAATGTTGGGACCTCATGCATAATTGTATGTTCACGTGAATTGGGATACTTTCCCTTATGATGAGTATGGACGTGTACGCTATGAAATGGAAATGATCATCATGTTTATCATGATTCTACGACGGTCTCTATTCCCTCCAGGTGTCCGACTACAGCACCAGAGACGCTAGACTGCAGCAGGTCGTATAGGGGTGTGCAAGCCCACCTGATAGGCTCATGCTTACACGTGTGGGTCATTGTAGAGAAGTAAATACTCATCCAATTTGCCCAGACGGGAAAGGCATCTAAGAGAAGACAGTTTTAAATGATAGGTCTCATTCATGTTGCATGTATTTGCATTCTCTGACCCCAATAGTCGGGACATCATTTTAAAGCTTTTAATGCATTTTATTCGAAACCTCACTACAAATTGCGAGATTTCTGGTGAGGCATTGAAACCGTAGAATTAAATTGCTCCACGCCCCCATAAATCTCCAAGTAGCACCCTCTAATCCACCCCATCCGTTCCACATTCATTTTGCAACACGGACACACCTAGAGAAAATGGAATAAAGAGAGAGAAATTGAGGAAAAAAAAGGAAATTCCATCGACAGAAAATTACGATGACGACGTTATCCTTTCCTATCCGAGGTAGCCTTCGACGTCTTGGTGGATATAGTACCTCACAGGGAGTATTGCAGTCGTTGTGGGTAGAGGAATTGACGGAGAAAACATCGCCAAAAAAGAAGGAAAATCGAAGCCCTCGTTCTCAGTACTACTCGAGCAAAGGGTCAACCAAGAGATAAAGGTTAGAATTAGATGAGACAAGGTTAGAATTAGATTACTCCTTATAAGCAAGATTTGGAATCTTGTTCTGTGACGGCCCGAAATTTTCTACTTAATTTAAGGTCGCTACTATATACATACCATAAACATTAAATGCGGAATACTTCATTTAAATTCCATAAAACATAACCTTTATCTTAAAACACAGCCATAGACTTACGTATTTCGAAAACATCTTTAAAACGACACAACAAAAGACTCGAAATAAAATAAATAAACGTTCAAGTTTAAAACATCCTATTCTATCCTAAGTCTAAGAAAATAAATGCCAATATCCTATGCATGTGCCATGATCTCGAGTTGCGATGTCGTCGTCAGCCGTACAGGAATGCCTTGCTTTAACCTGAAAAATGTAGTAGCACATAGCTTGAGTATTTAAAGAAATACTCAGTAAGTGACCCCACTATTCGGGTTAAATGCAACAATCACATGCAATGAAATGATGGGACCTATCTTTCGTTTCGTTTCGTTTCGTTTCGTTTTCCCTTCGGTGTAATCCTAACAGGTAATCGTGGACGTGTACCATATACTCTACACGCATCCCATACGTGCGAGTATGGGCTCACCAGCTAATTTGCACACCGCTAGGCCACTGTCCCTAGCCGGTGGGCATGCTCTAGGGGCCCACTGGGACCCGTTAAAACTAAAACCGTCACGGCAGCGCTATACAAGGCATAACAATCGTTGTCCTGCCATTTGGATGTACGCGTCCATACCCTCGTGATGGGATAGGGGTATCCCCCCAAATGTATGATCACACAATATGCATGAGGTCCCACTAGTCCTACAGTCATCATTTAATGAACATAACCCTGTGTCACGTTTTCATGCTTACATGTCATTCTCATTCTCATTTCATTACATATCATACATATTCCTAGCGGGGTTATGTATCATGCAATTTACCGTATTTCATGTCATACAATTCATTCAGTTACATTCCAATACTCATACAACAAGCCATAATCGTACAAGGGCCACACATCGTCACATGCATTCATATCACATCAACTAAGCAGCATAAATAACATACATTCATGTTCACATGATTTCGTACTTAAGCACAATAATCTAGCATACAATGTATCATATCATAACCAAGTCAATAACGTAAACACTTCATAGTCATATCGTTCTCTAACAACCATAGCCTTAACGTTCTTATACCTATCACAGACATATTATTACGTGACGTACCTTAGTCATATCGTCACAAGAATGTACCCTAATGCTATCGTTCCATCAATCTATCACAAACCTATCCCTTTCTAGCCATAACCTAACCGTATTCTTTCATCAATCTCTCCTATCCATAGAACGGTATGTAACCTAACTCTAACATTTCATGAACGTATCTTACTCCTATCGTTACATTTCGTTTTGTGCATCCTTCTCGTATCCTATCTCAAACATCTCTTAGAGCACATCGTACCATAATTATTACCATACAATCCACATATTATAACATAACATAACATATAGGAAGCATATCGATCCACAGACAATTCACACATATCAATATATATGACACGTGCCGAACCACAGGGCACGTATCAACATCAAATATAACCATGCCGATAGTAAGGTCACTTACCTGACTAGCTTAAGTCGTTGTCACAAATATATCTTTAATGAAAGTTCGATTCCGTCCTTTGAAATCCGAGTCAACCTATATGAGTTCATGACATCAGTTTCAAGTTTAAACTCTATAAAATTATTTCTCTCATTTAGATTGGCCATCGAAAAATTGTGATATTTCGTGTTAGACAAAATTTAAAGGAACTCACTACACTGATATTTCCTGTTTTACTGTTAAATCCTGTTCAACAAATCTTTCCTCAATCTTTCCTCTTCTTCTGTAATTATTTTTAAGAAGGTACTATTCAATTTTGTTAATCTATTCTACTTCCAAATCTTCCATTTTTATTTTTATTATTATTTTTCTTTTCAGTTAACAATGTTCTGTATTTCTATCTCTATCTAGCTTTTAATTTAATCGATTCATTTGGTTATATTCTTTTCCTATAATTCATATAAAATTACAACCTAAATACTTGCAACAATTCAGTATATCTAAATCATTGCAACAATTTAGTAGATCTAAAATATAATTGATTTTGATTTCCTAAACTCATACAGAATTCTTTTCATTTAATCTCTAATTCAAAACTAAATAATTGTAACCAAATTAATAAAAGGAAGATTTAACATACTGATCTCTTCAAATGACATATCTCCTATGGCAGAGCTAGTCTGCTTAAACCTTTTGTTTTATTTTTCTATTTGTTTTTGTAGGAAATAAGAATTCTGTGTAAATCTACGTTGTTTTTACAGAAAAGAGATTCGTGATTTGTTGCCAGATTTATTTTTAGGGGAGGAATGGTGAGAGATTGAAGGAAGGAGGAGGGATCGATTACCAAATGTTTTATTTATTTATTATTTTATTATTTTAACTATTTTTTTATAATTATTTTTATTTGTTTATTTCTTTATTTATTTTTGGGCTATTACATGTTCTAGATTGGGTCACTCCAAAATCGAACTTGATAAAAATTTTATTGAATGGCCCGATGCAATTTACCACGATAATTGCTTGAAACTTATAAACGGCAAGATTTGGAATGTGCCCAGATGCAATTTTTATTGAATGACCCAGATGCAATTTACCACAATACTTACTTAAACTTAGAAATGGCAACATTTGGAAATTGAGTCACTCTACCATCGAACTTGATAAAGATTTTATTGAATGGCCCAGATGCAATTTACCACAATAATGGCTTGAAACTTAGAAACGGCCATGATAAAACTTTTATTGAATGACCCAGATGCAATTTACCACAATAATTGCTTGAAACTTAGAAACGGCCATGATAAAGCTTTTATTGAATGACCCAGATGCAATTTACCACAATAATTGCTTGAAACTTAGAAAAGGCCATGATAAAGCTTTTATTGAATGACCTAGATGCAATTTACCACAATAATTGCTTGAAACTAAGAAAGGGCAATGATGCTATAATGTCTAACGGGTAAAGTCTCAACTTGAGAGATCAATTTCATTTCCCACAAATTTGATTTTTACCTCATAATTTGTGGGTATTTATAGCCTCTGCACAAAAGAAATTAGCGGCCGTGATTTATTCCGATCCCCTTCAATCTCCACAAAAAGTCAATTTGACCATTACAAACTTTATGGAATTAAAAATTATAAATAAAGTTTTCTAATAACTCATGAAATGATGTTTGCAACTTCATCCGCTACTTCAACCGAGCAAATATTTACTTCTAAAACTTCAAATGGTCTTTCCTCAATCAAATCAGCTTGTAACTCATGAAATGATGCTTGTTGAATCTTTTTGACCTTGAATCGTGTAATGGGTCCAGTTGAAACATTTGGGACACCGTGATTCTTATCAGAGATGAGTCGTCGAAGCAAATATTTGGACCTAAGTACAGCCCACAAAAACATTTATTGCGTCAGCTTAAGGTGTTTTGTTTCAACCCAGCTCAACGACCCATGCACCCG